CCCCGCCCCACCACGCCCCACCACGCCACGCACCGCGCCACGCACCCAAATGCACGCTTGGCATGTTTACGGCTGTCAATGAAGTCTTGCAGGGCTGGAGGGAGAGGTGGCTGGAAAAGGTGGGGGGGAGGGGGGCATAAGTAAAGGAGAAGACAAGAGAGAAGACGCGTCGCGACGGAAAGAACAAGAGAAGAGAGAAAGAGAAGGAAGAAGCCATCAACAAGGCGGTGGTGCTCTGAACGGGAGGAGTATGGCATAGGAAGGAGCGTCAAGGAGAAGGAAGAACAGTCCTTGGAGAATAATAAATAAAATGACCGGATTGATCTAAAGCGGCTCAAATCGTGCTTCACACGAGTTTGCTTTTAGCATGCGGTGTGATTGCGTCTCGTTACGGGAAGAAGAGTAGGAGGGGGGGGCACACCGTTTAGATGGTCTGCTGCTGCTGCGGCTTTGGCCCGGCGTCCGTCCGTGGGTGCGAACGAGGCTGCTCTGCCGGCCACATAAAAATAGTTGTTGACGTGACGAGATGGACGGGCGGTGCGGCCCGGGATGGGCTGAGCGATGGCGGCCCGGCCCGGCCCCGGCCTGCACTCGCGCACATAAATCTACCACTTTTTTCCCCCACCGCTCTCGTCATCTTGTTTGCATATTATTCGTCCCAAAACGATTGCCGGACTCGTGTGTGTCTGCGTCAGGCGATGGCTGTTTGTGTGTCCGCCTGCTCGGACTGCTGCGAGACGACACGCTCAAATATATATTTTCATCCCGGCTCTCCGAACTCAATGTGAAAAAAAATAAATATCGGTGAAATTAACGACAAAACACTTGCATCTAGCAGTGCGTTGTGAAATGTGAATCCAAGTCTAGGCAATCGGCATGCGGCTTCCCTCCCATAACAGCGTTCGGCGTTCCCCGCTGGACTTGTTGTACCGTCTATAGGATCCCTCTGCTAATCGCATCGCAGGACGGACTCATTTAAAGAGCAGGCGAGTACGTACTTACGTACTTCCACTCCAAGACGCCGGCGCGATGCGGCGGATTTATCACGACCGTTAGAAGAGCTTGTTGCGCTGCATAGGCCCCCCTCTCTCCCGGGGGCGGAGAGCTGGCCGCGCACCACACACCTCCCCTTGTCATGTCGAGGTGCCCC